GACGTTTGCGAAGTGACATGTTGCGCACAGGCCTATCCTCGCACAGATTCAGGCCAGCAAGCGCACAAACATGCGCCACGAGCTGCGTAGTTCTGCTAACGAGATGAAATCAGTTCCTATGGCTAGGGAATAGGACGTAGTAGAGAACTGTGTGAAGATACAGTGGTAAAAAAGGCATCCAGACGTTGGCGCAGTGACATGTTGCGCACAGGCCTATCCTCGCACAGATTCAGGCCAGCAAGCGCACAAACATGCGCCACGAGCTGCGTAGTTGTGCTAACGAGATGAAATCAGTTCCTATGGCTAGGAAATAGGATGTAGTAGAGAACCGTGTGAAGAAACAGTGGTAAAAAAGGCATCCAGGCGTTTGCGAAGTGACATGTTGCGCACAGGCCTATCCTCGCACAGATTCAGGCCAGAAAACGCACAAACATGCGCCACGAGCTGCGTAGTTGTGCTAACGAGATGAAATCAGTTCCTATGGCTAGGGAATAGGATGTAGTAGAGAACCATGTGAAGAAACAGTGGTAGACGTTGGCGCAGTGACATGTTGCGCACAGGCCTATCCGCGTACAGATTCAGGCCAGCAAACGCACAAACATGCGCCACGAGCTGCGTAGTTGTGCTAACGAGATGAAATCAGTTCCTATGGCTAGGAAATAGGATGTAGTAGAGAACTGTGTGAAGAAATAGTGGTAAAAAATGCATCCAGACGTTGGCGCAGTGACATGTTGCGCACAGACCTATCCTCGCACAGATTCAGGCCAGCAAACGCACAAATATGCGCCACGAGCTGCGTAGTTGTGCTGACAAGATGAAATCAGTTCCTATGGCTAGGAAATAGGATGTAGTATAGAATCGTATGAATAAATAGTGGTAAAAATGACATTTAGACGTTGGCGCAGTGACATGTTGCGCACAGGCCTATCCTTGCACAGATTCAGGCCAGCAAACGCACAAACATGCGCCACGAGCTGCGTAGTTGTGCTAACGAGATGAAATCAGTTCCTATAGCTAGGTAATAGGATGTAGTAGAGAACTGTGTGAAGTAACAATGGTAAAAAATGCATTCAGACGTTGGCGTAGTGACATGATAGCGAGGAAAACAGTGCAAGGATAGGCATGTGCGAGACGCCGTGCCGTTTCGACGTCCGTTTGTCATTTTGAACAAGGTTTTTGTTTATTTATCAAACATGGCACTATATTGCAAGCATGCCGGACAGGTTTGGTGTCGTTTGCAGCACCTGGTATGAACAATCGGGCAGGGAAACTGTGCGAGGACAGGTGTCGTTTCACCATCTTGTTGTTCTTTGTCTTTTTTTTTTTGGTACGAACGATTTCGCAGGCTTATCATAATCATGAAACTAACATTCTACACCGAATATTTGTAATCACAAAACAACAAATAAAGTGTCAGGTTTATTAGTATACGTAATTTTCCATGTATCCAATAAACATGTGTTATATTATTCAGTGCACATATCAAACATCTGTTTTTTCAATGCAAGCATGGAGGCAGAAGGTTATCTGAACAGTATCGCGCCAAAAACTCTGAAAGCAGATTGGTCGTGCCAGGTCGTGCTATGAGAGAAACGACCGTCACTGAAAATCGCGACGCGGGCGACAAAAAATCTGATCGCAGAGTTTTCGGCTTGGGACCAATCTGTGACCACCCCAGCTTATGACCAACCTTGGCTGTGACTGACACAGCTTGTGACTCATCTTGCCCGTCCTTGACCTACCTTGTCTGACCTAGTCTGTCACTGACATACCTGGTGGTTGACCAAGCTTGTCTGACCTAGTCTGTCACTGACATACCTGGTGGTTGACCTAGCTTGTCTGACCTAGTCTGTCACTGACATACCTGGTGGTTGACCAAGCTTGTCTGACCTAGTCCGTCACTGACATACCTGGTGGTTAACCAAGCTTGTCTGACCTAGTCTGTCACTGACATACCTGGTGGTTGACCTAGCTTGTCTGACCTAGTCTGTCACTGACATACCTGGTGGTTGACCAAGCTTGTCTGACCTAGTCTGTCACTGACATACCTGGTGGTTGACCTAGCTTGTGGCTGCCAGCTTAGGCACGTGCACAGGGACAAGTCGCATGTAGATTGAGTCGACCTCGAGTCGAGAGTCAAATGTCGGGTCGAGTCGGCCCTCATTCGAATCAACTAGCGTGTAGAGGTTGACTGACCTGGTAGTGATGTGGCTATTCATTCACTATAGATGGGCACACGTAGAACCTTAGCAGGTGTTGAAATTCTAGAGATCGTTTACGTTTCAGTCAAGTTACTTCGAGCTGTAGCGGATCATTTTGGCTTGACGGTGATAATGTAGGTGCTGCGTGGCAGCACTGAGGCAAGATAGGCCTAATGCGATGCGATTGGCTTGGCGTTAAGGAGAACGATTTAAATTGACTGGCAAGATTAAGTCGAGTTAAGTTGGAAATTGGATCTAGAATACGCGACACCAGTTTCTAAGGTGAGTGCAACCTACTCGACCAGCGACGAGTCACGCTCTCGTCGAGTCACTGACGTGGCGAGACTTTGCCGACTGACTCAATCCAGTGAGGCGATGCAATGGACATTCTTAGCTTGAGCTGACTCGACTCGACTCGACTCGACTTTGCACAAACGAGTTGGGCGAGTCGACTCAAAACTTGACTGGCTGGTGGCAGCTACCCTGGCCTGAGGTTAGCCTTGCACATGACCGACCCAGGTTGTTGTGAGTGACCCAATCCATGACTAACCTAGCTTGTCTCTGACCTAGACAGTCAGTGCCGTAATCCGTACCCGCCAATGACAGACCTGATTGGTATCAGACCTAGCTTGTGCTTGACCTAGCGTGGGACGGACCTATTCCACGAAAGGTCTAAACTGTGAGTGTCTCAACCTGTAAGTGACATAGGACCTGCCTGTCTGAATTCATGACTGATTTAACTTGAGTCAGACCTAGCTTGTGATGTGAGGGACATAGCGTTTGAGTGAGTGACATAGCTTGTGTTGTGATTGAGTGACCTACCTTGTGGGTGATCAAAGCTCTATGTGGCCTCGCGTGTTAGTAACCTATCCGGTCACTAATCTACCTCAGGACTGTCATAGCGTCCAACGGACGTATTTTGTGAATGACCTAGCCTGTGGCTAACCTCGCCCGTGACCGTCATACCCTCTGTCTTATCACAGGCTGTGACCGACCTAGCTCGCGCGGGGATAAGTGACCTGGCCATTAAGTGACCTGGCCATTAAGTGACCTGGCCATTAAGTGACCTGGCCATTAAGTGACCTGGCCATTGAGTGACCTGGTGAATGAGTGACCTAGCCTCGAAGCAACTCAAATCGTGACTGACCTAGCCTATACTGCCTCGGCGTATGAGGGGCCTAGCTTGAGACTCGCAGGGCAACTCAGGTGTAGTCCGCCAGCCCCGGGTGTCGCGTTATTAACACTTAACTGGCAACTAAGTGTGAATTACACAGCAGCCAAGGTGAGGGTGTACTATAGTTTACTGCTTTTGTACTCTTATTTTGACTGTGTGTTTGGAGTGTATTGTACTGTACTGCAGAGCCGAGTAGCTGGGAGAATTCGAGGTGGTTAGTGGGAGGCGAATTCAAGGTGGTTGGTGGAGGCGATTTCAATCCCAGCCTGTGAATTCAATTTCCAAGTCACCAGGATGGAGGGTGAATTCAATCCCAGCCTGTGAATTTAATTTCGAAATCACCAGGCTAGAAGGCGGTGCATGCCTAGCAGGCCCGATGGGATTATGGGACCCAACTAGCACCTTGGAGCCCTCGCGAGCAGCTTGGCTGAGTTGCTTGGTGCACATGAGCTTGCTTGTGGAGGAAGCAACCTAGGCAGGGGTGGGAATAGATGTAGGCAGGAGTGGCACTCGGGCTTCTTGATTTTTGCTTGTTTGTTTCTTTTTTACTGCAACTTTCTTTCCTAATCCGAAGGAAACTAGCAGTAGGAGAAGCTGGAAGCAATCTGACTGAGCCCTCGCGGGGTAGTTTAAGCCTTGTTCCAAGGGATGAGCCAGGTCACCTGTACGAGAAGCGGAGAGGGAAGGAGAGAAGAAGACAGTCAGTTATTCAAAGGAAAGTAATGACCGAGTGTTTGCAGAGGAGGATTCACGACAAGGGGATGTGGCATGTCTCAGGTCTCCGCCAACCTCAGCCAATGGAGGAACTTTGAAAAACGGAGGTCTTGAGTGCATCACATCTGACTTGGAAACTGTGTAATATGAAAAAGCGCGACCCGAACTCATTGGTTCTCTATCAGCCTCGTGCTTTCAGACCGACCACCTCTCTGAGAGTCAAGTTGGGTTCCAACCGTGTGGCGAGTCAACTACCTGAGTCTTCTGTCTCACTCATATTGTATATGGCTTTCCCTACCATTTTTGTTCAACCTTTACTTTCATATCTCCTCATTGTGTGCTTCCCTCGCCTGCCTGACCGTGGTAAGGAGAAGAGCTGCCGGGGACACATTGCATATTTCAGGCTGAGCTGAGCTGAGCTTGTTGCTGTGTTGCCATTGCTGTTCCGCATCACATCCTCTTGCAACATCCTATCTTGCTCTCTTCCTCCTCCGAGATTCCTATCTGGCCTGTTCCAGTTAGTTCTCCTGTCCTCACCTACTTGTGTCAGGTTGTGGTGGGTGGGAGTGTCAATATCTTCTTACACACTTATAAATTCATATTTGAAATACTTTAAATAGAGACGAGCTCTCTGCCTCGACTATTTTATTATTAAATTTCTCTCCACACCCCTTCCCTTGCACGACGATTGCCTTTCAAGAAACAGGTTTCCCCCTTCGACCGTTGTTCATGGGGCCTTTTGGCTGTTTTGCTAATTCAGCTCACTTCATGTTACTGATTGTACACCATCTTCGTACCGGCCCCCTCTGTGTACCTCTGTAACCCACTCGTTTTTCCCCTTGCATGTTGTTTTACTGAACTAAGAAGTCTCCACTTGTCTCTACTTTCTCCTCCCATTGTTCATGTCCATAATGGCTTGTGAGTCGTCACATTACTACCAGAGTCTCCACCTCGTGAGCCAGAGTCAGTGAGTCTCCACCCTTCACCCTCTGCAGTCATTTCCTCGCTGCAACCATTTGTAGTCTCGTTCTTTTCCAGTCTTTGCTTGCACTTCTTACCCCTCCTGACATCTTCTTCCTTGCTCCTTTAGCTGGCCTTCCCTTGTTCCAATGCCGCCTGACTTCATGCCAGATGCATGCGTGTGAACAAGCTTCTCCTCTCAGTGCTTGACACAAGCATGCGTTGCATCTGTTTTCGCTCATCTTGTCATCAAGTCTCCCTCGTCTTCTGCTCTGTGTCTTCTCTTGTTCACATGACTGCATTGCCTCTCATGCCCAGAAATATTATTCGTTGTGTCTACATCAACTATCCCCTTCTCCCCACTTTTTAAGGCGTTTCCCTTGTGGCATTCGACCCAACCCTACGCAGGCCTGTGTGCCTTCTCGAGGCTGAAGGGAGTGGTGGAACGCAGGGAGTGGTGGAACGCAGGGAGTGGTGGAACGCAGGGAGTGGTGGAACGCAGGGAGTGGTGGAACGCAGGGAGTGGTGGAACGCAGGGAGTGGTGGAACGCAGGGAGTGGTGGAACGCAGGGAGTGGTGGAACGCAGGGAGTGGTGGAACGCAGGGAGTGGTGGAACGCAGGGAGTGGTGGAACGCAGGGAGTGGTGGAACGCAGGGTGTGGTGGAACGCAGGGAGTGGTGGAACGCAGGGAGTGGTGGAACGCAGGGAGTGGTGGAACGCAGGGAGTGGTGGAACGCAGGGAGTGGTGGAACGCAGGGAGTGGTGGAACGCAGGGAGTGGTGGAACGCAGGGAGTGGTGGAACGCAGGGATCCATTGTTGAAGACATGGCTGCTGAGCGAGTGATGGGGGTACTTGTTGATGCGGTCAAAGAGGCGGTGCTGGCAGCTGTGAGAGAGGAGCTGGCTGCACACAAGGAGGACGTGGATGAGTTGCGGCGCATGTTGACTGCTGTGGGGGAGGGGAATGATGCGACTGCTGCTATGGGGAAGGAGAGGGAGAGGGAGTTGGCAGCAGTGAACGGGGTATTGGAAGGGGTGAAAGGGGGTTTGGCAGCAATGAAGTGGGAGTTTGCAGCAGTGAAGGGGGACTTTGCAGCAATGAAGTGGGAGGTTGCATCAGTGAAGGGGGAGGTTGCATCAGTGAAGGGGGAGGTTGCATCAGTGAAGGGGGAGTTTGCAGCACTGAAGGGGGAGTTTGCAGCGGTGAAGGGGGGGTTTGCAGCGGTGAAGGGGGAGTTTGCAGCGGTGAAGGGGGAGTTGGTAGCATTGAAGGGGGAAGTTGCAGCAGTGAAGGGGGGATTGACAGCAGTGAAGGTTGAGTTGGCAGAACACAAGGAGCAATGGGCTGAAGGTAGTAGGGCATCGTATGTATGGGGCGTGAGAGGGGAGAGTAGGAAGAGAAGGCACGAAATAGCAGCGGAGTTTGCATGGGAGGAGGAGAGTAGGAGAGAGGTGCAGGAGTTGAGTTGGGGACATGCCATGGAGGAGTTGGCAGCCTGTAACGATTGGCAGAGGACACAAGATCTGAAATTGAATGTTGACGTGGAAATCCGGCAGAGTGAAGGCGATCGGAGGGCTGCGTGGGAGGTGAGTGCTGAATGAATTGCTTCACGCGGCGTACATTGCTTTCTAGTTCCTTGTTGTCACTGTGAACATCCCGTCCCTTGTCATGTTCTCCTTTCCCCTCGCCATCCATTTCTGCCAGGCAATCAGGTAAGCATCACCAATTCCTGATCTGGACCTGAGGAATCACGACGGCCTCTCGGACACCATCCTCGGCCATGTGTCCACAATGACCCACCTGACGAGCATTGACTTGGAAGATAGCTCAGGCTTCAGTGCAGAGGGCATGAAGCACCTCTACAGCATGCCACGGCTGGAGATGCTAAACCTCAACGGCACAGACATCTCTGATAGTGCGCTGGAAGGCATTGGGTCCTTGACCCGTCTCAAGCAGCTCTATCTCTGGCAGACCAACGTGACCAATGCTGGTCTGCCGCACTTGACAGCTCTCTCCTCTCTACAAGAGTTGAACCTTTCCCGTTGCCAGGGTGCGAGTGCTGCTGGCGTGGTGCATCTGGGAAGGTTGACAAGGCTTGAGAAACTTTGGCTACATGAGACGACAGTCACAGATACTGGTCTGCTGCACTTGACAGCACTCTCCTCTCTCAAAGAGTTGGACCTTTCCCATTGCAAGGGTGTGAGTGCTGCTGGCATGGTGCATGTGCGAAGGTTGATAGGGCTTGAGGAACTTTGGATACGTGAGACGGCAGTCACAGATACCGGGCTGCAGCAGCTGACGGGTCTGTCTTCTCTCAAGGTGCTAAGTATTTCCAACTGCAAGGGCGTGACAAATGCTGGCATTGTGCATGTGGGGAGGCTGACAGGGCTTGAGAGGCTTAATATGGATCATTCGGCAGTCACAGACGATGGGCTGCAGCAGCTGACTGCCCTGACTAAACTGACATCACTATATATGCCAGAAGATGTTTTGCTCGTGAATGATGATGTGCGCAGGCGGATAGGCTGGTAGGGCCTCAGGGAGTGATGATGGAAAGGTGGGTGAGGTGATGGAAGAGTTGACCCTGGCTGTCTAGGAGAGACTGAGGAGAGGTGTGAACGCGGAGGAGTGAAGCATGGATGGTGGTTGTACACAGAGAGTTGGAGAATGGTCTTGTTGGACAGAAGCAGGTGCAGGGCTGTTTGGCCAAGAGCCCAGCCAGGGGCACAAAGGGAGGCTGCGCGAGCCATGCCTTCCTGTTTATGGGTGTTGGCTGTACCGTATGTAGAGTGGGAATAATGAGAACAAGGGTACTGTGTGTATGATGGGGTATACAACTTGCTAAGTTATGCATAAATGACAATGCTCCTAGAACAATACCTTGTGTCCGCATGGGGCATGCATGCCTTGGCAATGCCCAACCAGTCCTTATGCCCATCCAGCGCTACGCTCACCGCCTCCCACAGCAACATGTGGTGTGAAAGCAGCAAGCGGAACACAGGTGGAGGATGTGATGCCTAGGAAGAGAGGGAGTAGAGTGGAATACTGGAGTCATGCATGAGATGGAAGAGTTGCATCTTAGGTGAAATCCCATGAGTACTGCAGTGGTGCCAACAGCTCGTGCTCCTCACCTCTGGTAGCACAACTCACCATCAACACATTTCTTATGTGTGTGGGTGTGTGTGTGTGTGTGTGTGTGTATGTGTGTGTGTTTTGTTTTTGGTTATTTTCTTTCCTTCAAGCCTGATTTACGTTGTTAAAGCCAGAGCCAGAGCCTGGGCAAATGGAACTTACAGTGGGGGAAGAATATGGGAAGGAAGGTGGAGGGTTAGGGATGGGATATGGACGGGGGGGTATTGCAGGGGCAAAAGGGAGGTATGAGTGGACACTTGATGCATCTGATGCGAAGTATGGCAGGTATGGGTGACAACACTAACATTGCTGCACCCGCAGCTGCTGGTGGCAGATGGAACGCGAGCGATGTTGCCAACTCGTAGGTAAGAGGGCAACTCGGAATTGAGAGGGCAACTCAGAGGTGAGAGGGCAACTCGTAGGTGAAAGGGCAACTCGTAGTTGAGAGGGCAACTCGTAGTTGAGAGGGCAACTCGTAGTTGAGAGGGCAACTCGTAGTTCAGAGGGCAACTCGTAGTTCAGAGGGCAACTCGTGGTTGAGAGGGCAACTCGTAGGTGAGAAGGGTGCGGAGAATCACTCAACACTGAGAGCTTGACTACGAGAGAAAGCACGGGTGGTACGAGTGATCGTAGCATATGTTTGTGTTCTCTAACACTTGTGCGTTCACTGGGTCAAACAACAAGAGTTTAACTAGCAAAAGTTGAGAACAATGATAGGAATTGCAATAACAAGAATGACTGCATCAAATGCAAGGCAGCCTAGCAGGCAGGCAGGTCGACCGCCAGCGTAGCAAACACTACAGAGAGGCAGCTTGCCAACGTAGCAAGTTGGTGGCCTGCCAGCGCTGCACCAAGGCGGCTTGCCAATGCTGCAGTAGGGCGGCATGCCAGCATTGCAACCGCAGGCGAAAACACATGCGCACACCTACTTCGCATGAGCTTGTAGACGGTTGAGCACGACGTGCACCGTCATGCACATCACCCTGGTGCTAGATCAGTCACGTGCTGTCGGTTGTGCCTGATGAGCCACGTCGACTTCGCCACAACAACCTTGACTACGATCACATACCTCCGTGGAACCTCGTTGACCAGGTAACTCGGTCGACCAGGTAAACTTGCAAACTGGTGTACATGCTCGTCGATCGCCCAGGTTGACACCACCCAAAGACCTTTACCAAGTCCAAGCCCCGGCAGGTCGACGAATCCCCTCGTCAACCACGCTAGTTGAAGTCAGCCGCCGACTTCCCATCGTCGACGGCTTCACAGGGGTCCCACGCAGTAGACCAACTTTGTCGACCTGCATGCCCTAGTCAGCGACATCCCGAGCAGACGTTGCGCGCGGTCCGCGGGCAGCCAACTACACCCCCCGCGCACCCGATTGCAAGGTCAGTCTCGCCCAAGTGATGGTGGGGCCATTTACCGTCAACACTCCCCTGCCGCGCACGCGCACTCCACCTAAGCTCCACCCCAGAGCCCAAGGGATCGAATACACAGGGAAACTCCGTCCTCGGGGTGCACCCAATACACAGCATGCCGTTCACCGCACCAGCCATGCAGAAGGGCATGGCGCCTACTGCTACACGTCATCATCACTGTCACCGACGTCAACCAAGCGTACTTGGCCAATCGCAATGGAGCACCGGTTGAAGGCCAGAAAGTGCAGCGCCTTCGTCAGTAAGTCGGTCAGCTGCTCGGTGGTCGGGATGGACTGCGAGGCTATCTTCCCGTGCTTCACCATTTGCTTGAAGTTGCCCTTCAGTCCCAAGCCGTCAGCAGCCGCGATGGCACACTGGTTATCTACGTGCAGCATGGTCTGCTTCCCTACGTCAAGAAGTTGGAACTCAGCAAGGAGGAAGCGAAGTCGGCGTGCCTCCTTGCCGGCTTCGGCAACCGCGATATACTCCGACTCGGTTAATGAAAGCGTCATGCACTTGATGCGCTGACTCGTCCAGGAGACTGCGGCCCCACCTTAGACAAACAGATAGACATTCGTGCTGCTGCAATTTTGCTTGTTGCTGGCGTCGTCGACGTCCGCGCAGCCGACCTGTCGCTATGACTCAGATCCGCCGCCGAACTCCACGGCAGCGTCACAGGTGTCGGCGAGGTAGTGCAGGAAGCGGTCGATCTCACACCATTGGTGGTCACTTCGCACCGTCAGGCCGCTCCCTAGCTTGCTGCACGCAAAGGCGATGTCCGGCCTCTTCGTGGTCGCACGAACTGCAGCGAGCCGACCTTCTGCCGGAATTCGCACGACTGAGACTCCTTTTCGTCGAACGTCAGCTCACCGTGGGCGTCGACGGAGATCGGCGTCTTCGGAATCCGCCCGGTTTGCTCCTCTTCGATGAAGCGCCTTTGCAGCTTGTCGATGTAGGTCTGCTAGAACCACATCTTCCTCGCCGGTTGGTCATGCAAGATCTCCATCCCAAAATACTCGACCAGGCTGATCTTGCGCAGCTCGAAGGCGAACTCTAGCAGCTCCTTCAGCATCGCGGTGCTGCTGCTGGCAGCGGCGAGAAGGTCGTCGACGTAGACCGGCACCCAGCATGCCACTCCATCGTTGCTGGCCTTGGAGTACAGCGCCTCGTCGACTTGCCTTCTTCTCAAGCCGGATCCGATCAGCACAGTGTCGAGTGACGAGTAACACAACTGTGGCGACTACTTCAGCCCGTACAAACTCTTCAGCAGCTTGCTCACGTGGCCGGTCCCATCATCACAGTAGTCAGGCCGGTGCATCTAGAGCATGTCAATATAGGAACGTAGGAATGAATGACTAGAATGCGTAAGTACGAAGGTAGATATGGGAAACCTCACCCTAGCATTAACAAAGTGGTACACCACCTAGACTAGACAATACAAACTATAACAAATATACGTTGACACACCCCCATAGTGTAGGTGACGGTAGTCCTATGGAGAGCAACACATATCTTAGGTTGGATCACGAAGTCACCACACAGTCTGAGAGCAAGGGTTACAGGCCAGTGAGCAAGAACAAGCAATGGTCACAAGACCGGTTGACATGAACAAAACAAATCTCAGGGTGGACCTTAACGTCACCAAACAGTTTGAGAGCAAGGGTCACATGGCCAGTCAGCAAGAACAAGCAATGGTCACAAGACCAGTCCACAAGAACAAAAAAAACCTCAGGGTGGATCTGAAAGTCACCACACAGTCTGAGAGCAAGGGTCACAGGACCAATCAGCAAGAGGGCACACTGCCAGTCCACATGCAGGTAAATATATAGCAATTATAGTGAGATGCGAGAGTACAAGGAAAAACATCTTCATGCAAGCAAGTGAGAACCTGCAGGTACAAGGCCAGCTAGGTGCAGAATTGCTGGTGGTCACAAGGCGGCAACGCCTTGGGAAAGATGTATGCAGTGTTGGCCCCACAAACCACACGAACCACGCGGGTCTAGCCTCGCTGCTGCAACTCGCACAGAAGGAAGGCAACTAGATATGCTTCGCCT